GGAGGGGAGTCAAGCCATTCAGGGTCAAACCATTCACCTTCATGTCCTTTGAGTGGGGCTTGGCCTCCTGGGGCACCTTCCCCAGGTGGGCGTGCACACACTGAGAGCATTCCCCTCTCCTGCCCATTCCTCACTGTCCGTAAGGTGGGATTCTTGTAAACCCTTCTTGGTCAGGGGAGACCTGGCCGCTGTGGACTCCGCTGGGACCCCAGGCCTTCCCAGAGACCCCCAGCACAGGGGTCTTCACCTCTTTCTTCCCCCTCTTGCCCTGGGCTCACCCCTGCCCTCCTGCTGTCTCCTTCTTCTTCCTGGGTTTGGAATTACTAGAATTCTGCAGTTAGAATGGTCATCAGTTTACCATGCTATATGCTAAGTGCATTTTCCTGTCTGTACATTATACGTGAAGAGGAAGGTGATCGAGGGATCTCCTGGTAACAGAGCTTCACCATCGCACCACACCTTGACCTTCTTAGGAGCCCTCACAACCAGCGGCTTCTCAGCTGCTTCCCCCTTAAAGTATGGCCAGATGTTCCTCGTCTTATCATAGGGATTCATTACTCCAGAACTCCCTGACCTCCCTCCTTTCATCCTTCTGTTTCTTCCACATGATCAGAGGAGTGGGGTTGGGAGGGTGGGTCAAGACCACCTGTTGAGTTAGAGCCCAGAGCTCCTGGTCGAAGGTCGAAGGTCGAAGGTTGGCCTGCCTTCTCACCCGGGTTGTTACCCTTGTGTCTGAGCAAGGGTTTTGGAAAATCACACTTTTCAAATGTGTTCAAGAATGAGATTCCTTAGGTCAGTAGATTTCAATAGGACACATTCCACCCCCCCCCCCCCCCGACCCGCGCCAGGAGACATTCGGCAATGTCAGGGAACATTTTGGGTTGTCACAACTTAAGGGAGGCACAGGTGCTCCAGGCTTCTAGTGGGGAGGTGCCAGGGTCACTGTTAAGCCCCCTCCAGTGCCCAGGGCAGCTCCCCACAACCACAGATTATCCGGCTCAAAATGCCAATAGTGCTTATGCTGAGAGACCCTGCTTCAGGCTATGCAGTGTCTTAGGAAATCATTTTGCCTCGGTCTCTGCTTTTAGGCAAGCAGCCTGCCCTCAAAACACTGTAGTGATGAAACCTCTCAAATTAAAAGATCCCTTGGTCTCCTCTTCTAAAATCACCTCGTCAGGAAGTTCCCCTTCCCATCTAGCTTCAATCCCTCCTGTTTCTAGCTGAAGTAGATTTCCTGTTCAGCCGTATTTCTCATAAATGGACGACTGAGCCTAAAGACTGGTGGTTGCTCCGTGGCCTGTAGTTCTTTGAGTAACTTTGAGTAAGCACCCTGCTTGAACAGACACCCAGCTCCCCTGCTCCCCTGACGCCATGGCACCTCCTGTCCCTTCTCACTGGCTGTTTCTCTCCCTGTGTGTGTGTGTTTCTTTCTCCAATTTCCAGGTCCCCAGGCCCTGACCTGGCCTTCCTGACTTCCTGTCCTGACAAGAACAAAGTCCATTTCAACCCGACCGGCTCGGCCTTCTGCCCCGTCAGCTTGATGAAGCCCCTCTTCCCCAGCATGGGCTTCATTTTCCGTAACTGCCCCTCAGGCCCGGGGTCCCCCCTGCCCCCTGCCAGCCCCAGGCCTCCGCCTCGGAAGGATCCAGAGGCCCCCAAAGCCGCCTCGCTGCCGTTCGAGCCGTGGCAGCGCACCCCGCCGTCAGAAGAGCCTGTGCTTTTCCAGAGTTCCCTGGTGGTCTGAGGGCCCCAACCCTACCACTTCACCATGGAGACCAGTGCCTTGGTGGCAGGCCCCTCACTCGCTCCCCTGAGGTGGGGGATGAGGGAGCCCTTCCCTCGCGGCCTTCGAGCACTTTCATTGATTGTGTCAAAGCCCCGTGTCCTCCTCCTGAGGGACACTAGCCCCTCCAGATGTGAGGGGACCTGCCTTCTCCACTAGCAGCTGGGCAGCTCACAAGTCACACCTGTGTTCCTGCCGCCTCTCTCACTTGGTGGAAAATTCACCTGAAGGTCTTGAGTCACCCCACCCTGGGGTGTGAGTCCAAAGGACTGTCTGTGGGGCCCTTGACCTTGTCATGGAGCAAGCTGGCCATGATGGAAGGAGAGGGAGCCCCACAGATTTCCTTCCCTCTCCTCTACAGACATGGAAGAGGAGATCGGAAAAGAGACAGCCCCATCCTCTCAGCCCCCATCCCCTTGCCTCCCTCTCACTGGAGGAGCTGACCAAAGCAGCCCTAAAGGGGCCAAAACACTTGACCAATCGAGCTGCTGGCAGAGGGGGGAACCAAGCGTTTTTCCCAAGTGGCATTTTCATCTCGCTTTCACCCTAAGATTGTCCTCAGCGGCAGCCCGGCTTGCCCAGCCCCAGGTGGGTGGTGGCGGAGAGGGAGAGCTGGCGTTCCTCCCGGTGACAAGCGGCGACTCCACACACCCCCCCACCTGCCCCGGGACTGGGGTGGTTTAGAAAAATGCCTATTTTTCTTGTATCGATGTAGAAACTCTATTTTCTCCCAAAGACACTATTTTTGCAGCTGTTTGAAGTTTGTATATTTTCCGTACTGCAGAGCTTACACGAAATTGAAGAATGTTAATGTTCAAGTTTTCTTATCCTGTGTTTAGAAGTTGTTTTTTTGCAGATCTTCATGTTAATAGACCAAATAAATAAGTATTCCCAGCAGCTTGAGGTTCTGATAAACATTTTTAGGGGAGGGGAATGGGATGGAGATTGAATGTGTTATATTGCGCATCCTTGTCTTCAAGAGGGGTCTTTACTTAGCATGGGATGATATGGATGTGGGTGTGGTATGCATGTGGGCGTTACGATGTAGGTGTTATGTGGATGTGGGTATTAAATGGATGCACAGAGTCCCTGTCCTCAGGTCACCAGGCTGGGATTCTTTAGATGGACATCTAAGCAATAGGTCCACGGAAAGCCTGTCCAGAATGAAGAGCGTGGTGTTGGTGGGGTGAAGGAGTCAGTGGGGGAAGTCACTAATTCTCGGATGAGTCTGGGAACTCTCCCTAGGGAGAGTGTGTTTCAGAGAGGAAGCAACGGTGACCAAGTTTGACATTGTTGGTGCTCCTTGCACCGGCAAGGGAAACAGGACGAGGGAATGGTCATCGGGTTGAATCTCTTGGCCCAGTTTTAGGGAAGCTTTAGCCCTTCTGGAGTATTCGTTCCATCTCGTGAGGACCCAGAACACACAGGGGTTTGCGGCCTCTCAGCTTTATAGTGCTGCACCTGTAAGAGCTCAGAGGCTCTGGGGAGAACTCAATAACCATCCTGACATGCTGATGGCGCGTTACAATTTACAGACATTTTCACGACATATTATCCCCACCATATGGGTGAAAAGTCGGACTACCCCAAGGTCAGGCATAATAACTACAGTCGAATCTATGTCAGAAGACCATTCACCAGCTCAGTAAGCATCAGATACCGCGTTAGTGCTTGACATAAAATGTTACCAAAATATCACAGCAACCCAATGAGAGAAATTGATAGATGCCACTGGACTGATGAGAGGACAGAAAGATTGTGTAACTTTACCCCCAAGACGCAGATACAAAGTGGGGGCGCTGAGTTGGGGATGCAGATCACTTGAATCCAGTGCCCATGCTTCTAACCACAGTGCTCTCCCACTTGTTACTATTTTCCCGTTATTTTCAGATGAGGAAAGACTCAGAGGCCAAGAGAATTGTTGGAAGTCCCAGCTGGGGAAGCAGCAGAGCTGGGTGTGGAACCCAGGTTTCTCACCCCAGCTACTGTATGGTGCCACAGGCTGATTCCGTGGAATAAGCCACTGGGCGAGAGAACAAATGTGGGGGCCCTATCCCCACTGAGATGGGGGATTGAGGACAGACCCTGTCTTCTATTTCTTACCCCTCCCCCTGAAAGATGTTTGGCCTACCCCCAAAGCCTTAGTGAGTCAGGCCCGGAGTGATGGGTGTGGTGCTGCCTGGAGTTTCCTTCCTTTGCCTGAGGCTGTGCCAAAGAAGTGGGCTGTCAAGCAGAGAAGGAGCCTCTACCCAGATAGCAGCCCAGGGTCCATTGACTAGGTGGGGCTTGGAGGTTGTAGTGGAACGTCCTGGGGTCTTGCCCTAGGTCTTGGGGCCCTCAGGTGGAGGCCCAACCCTTGGATGAGGGAGAGGTTCCAAAAGGAGGTCACGAACGGGAAAATCTGGAAGGCAGCATGAGGGTTTGTTCTACTGTTGATGAGGTGTAACCGGAGGGAATCCGCTTCGGTAAGCATCCATTTCCACCTCTAGGATGTGAAGAAGTAGGATCAGAGTTGAAAACGCGTAATGACTAACAATGCCTTAAACTTGCATAGAACGCTTTACAGTTTTTGAAACACTTTCACAAACCTCAGCTCATTTAATCCTCAGAACAGTCGAGAGGCGATCAAGGGAGGGTGCTACTAATTGTCTATTCCAAGTTTCCGGGCTGGGAAAACTGTTGGCGACAGGTAAAGTTACCCCTTTGAAGCCTAGTGAGGGCCCTTAGAAGGAGGACGCCGCCCTTGAACGCTCTTCTTGCAGAAGGTGAGGCGCCGACGCGGGGCAGCGGCTAGGGGGCGCTGAGGTTCCACTAGACTCTCTGGCGTTAGGACCCAGCGGAAGCCTTACTGCCGACCGGCGAAGAGACTCGGATTAGCCGGGCCGGCCTCCTTCCAGCTCACCTGTCTGTCTTCGCACAGCGCAACCAATTGGTGACCTCCACATCCACATACGTCGTCACTCCTCGCCCGCATAGCTCCTAGGCCATCCGGTCGAGCTCCGAGTCGCAGTTGTCCTCGGAGTTGCCTGATCGGAAGAGCCTGAGGGCTCGGCAGTAATGTCGGAGCAGTGGCTCTTTCTGCTATCAGGAACGAAGGCAAGGTCCCAGGGCGGGTGTCCTTTCCTTGGGAACGGTTTTTGGGTCTCGAAGCTTTTCCTTCTCGGAGGCTCTGAGCTGGCAGCTCTGGCGGTGGCTGCTGGGGCCTACTGAGCGGCGGTCGCATGCAGCTCCTATGAGGCCCCTGTCGCCGGTCGGCGATGTCCGACTGGAGCTGTCGCCGCCGCCGCCGCCGCCGCTGCCGGCTGTGAGCGGGTCTCCGGTCGGGTCGTCCGGGCGTCTCATGGCCGCTAGCAGCTCCCTGCTGCCCGACCGGCTGCGCCTGCCGCTCTGCTTCCTTGGCGTCTTTGTCTGCTATTTCTACTATGGGATCCTGCAGGAAAAGATGTGAGCAGATCCCCGGGGCGGGAGCGCAGACTTGCCTACCCCACCCCCCGCCCCCGTGGCCCGGTTTGCGGGCCTCTGGCCCCTGACCCGGGTGTTCCCTCTTTCCCGCCCTCCCAGCCCCCCGACGACTTTGCAGTTGCGGCTGAGTCTGCTCAGATTTTGGTCTCCTGATTCTCGGGACCTGGTTATTTTTCTTCTTTTTCTCCCTGTTGGTTCTAAGGGCTTGGGTTTTAGATGCTGAGAAGTCTACCCCCCACACAGGTTTCCTTGCTTACTAGCTCCTCTTTGCTACTTCCAGATGTTTGCAGACAGCTGGTTCTTTTGCCCTCGGCCTTGCATGTGTTGCCCACATCCCCTCATCTGCTGCTTGGGGTACCCCGTTTTACTGTCCAATTTTCCACGTTTCCTCTAGCTCCATCCTTTACGGATATTCTTTCCCTAGGCTACCGGATCAGCAGGCTGGGATGTCTGGCTTCTAGATCCAATAAAATCAGCCCTTATTGTGAATAAGGCCAGTGAACCTTACATCCAGAGAAGCAAGATCATTTTAAAGCTTTCGGTAACTCTAGACATACTAGATGACACTGAGTGAAATACACTAATTCTTCCTCTTCTTCTTTTTTTTTTTTCCTCATAATTTCATTCTTAGAACAAGAGGAAAGTATGGGGAGGGAGCCAAGCAGGAGACGTTCACTTTTGCCTTAACTTTGGTCTTCATTCAGTGTGTGATCAATGCTGTGTTTGCCAAGATCTGTGAGTACCTATCTCGTAATCTAGTAATCCCTATCCACTTTTAAGGTTTAACTTTCAACACTCCCACCTTCTTTAGTGCTTTCAAAGTCTCTCTGTTCAGTCTTCAGAACTAATGGCTTTGGAATGGGGTGAAATCCTATTTCCTTAAATTAGACCCAACTTCTGAGTCAGAAATGTGCAGAGAATGGGTATTCTGTGTGCCGGATCCCCATTGAGAACAGTTAATTTTTTTTTTTCTTTCTTTCTCTTTGATTTTCCTTTATGTGTCTGCTTCAAACATGTTTTGAGCTGCTCTTTGTTCCCTAGGGGCTTCAGCAGAGCTAACTCGTCCCTTGAACTGAATGAGCCCCCATTCCTGCTCTGCATGTGGTCTTGTGTTAGGTATAGGTGAGATTGGAGAGTTGAATAACCTTCAGAGATTTCCCAGTCTAAGAAGACAGAAATACTTTGTGCTTCTCGTCTTCTTTGACACATTTCCTTTCACTTGGCTTCAGCTTTGGCTCAGTGACCCATCCTGGGCCCACCAGGTTTCTCTTATACATTTTTTGTCTCTTCCCAGTGATCCAGTTTTTTGACACTGCCAGGGTGGATCGCACTCGGAGCTGGCTCTATGCCGCCTGTTCTGTCTCCTATCTGGGTGCCATGGTCTCCAGCAACTCGGCACTGCAATTTGTCAACTATCCGACTCAGGTGAAACCTCAGGGTGTGATGAGGGTTGGCTCAGAAGTTGTTTGAAAAGAACTAAGAATTCTTCGCTCAGGTCTGTGACTTAAATGAAAGAGATTGTGTTGGGAGAATTTCAGAGGCCAAAGAGCCACAGATCTGAGGTCTAGTGGCGGTGGGTTGGCCATGATAGGCTGTGGTTTCTGGTGCAGACCCCACATGACTTTTCTTAACAGAGTGCCTAGCACAGTGCCTGGCACATCCCAGAGGCTCACGTACTATTTGCTGAATTTCATTTCAGGTCCTTGGTAAATCCTGCAAGCCAATCCCAGGTAAGCAGAAGCAGATGGTCTCCCTCTATCTACCATCATCATTCTTCCTCTAGTAGGCTCTCTGCTCGTCTGCTAGAGTTGTGTGTCCCTTCCGATTGTCATCCCATCACAGCTATCTCCAAAGCCAGCCCTCCATCCCTTCCCCCTGCCATCCTGTCCTCTGTATCACCTCTGGTGGTGTTGGGTATACATGGGCTGGAAGCTAGAGGCTGACCAAGTCAGCTTCACATGCCAGTCATTTTGGTGTCCTGTGTGCTTACATTGTCATTAGAGTTAGGTCACATTTTGATCGTCAGTTTCTTTCTTTGAACCTCTCACTCATCCACTATTCCCACTCTTTCCCTTGTTCCTTCTTGGATCGTTCACCTTTGTTCTCTGCCTTTTCCCTGCCTTCTGCCGTTTGTTCTCCCCATTGCTCAACCCTGTCTATCCAGGTGCCAGCCTTGCGCCTTCCTCATAGCTTCTGTAGGCCTTCCTTCTCAGACATTCTTTTCTCACAGGAGCCTCCTAAGAGGACAGTGTTGGGCTCATCAGTGCCTGTGGGTATCCAAATTTTCCACTGTTTCTTCCCTGTAGTCATGCTCCTTGGAGTTACGCTCTTGAAGAAGAAGTACCCAATGGCCAAGTACCTGTGTGTGTTGCTAATTGTGGCTGGAGTGGCCCTTTTCATGTACAAACCCAAGAAAGTAGTTGGGATGGAAGAACACACAGTTGGCTACGGAGAGCTGCTTCTGGTATGTGATCCTGGTGGGAAAGGCAGCCTTTTCCTGTAATCACAACCAAGGAGCATCCCACCTGGGCATCCAAAAGGCCGGTTATGTGTCAAGAGGGAGATTGCGATGCTCCTTGCCCCCCATTTCGGGTCTTTGTCTCTTGCTGCGTGGCCCCCACTCTGCTAAGGCCACAGCGGGAAGACTGAAATCTTGAACAATATCTCAGCTCTCCTGAGGGGAAACTCTGAGGCCTGCATTTAAGTGCTGGTGTGAGGCCAGAGAGACCTGAGAGCAAATAGGGAAGGAATGGCATGTTTCTCACTGTGGCTTTCTGAGAAACCTGGAAGCCAGAGTTTAAAAATAACACTGGAGTAGCTCTTGCTTGCTGTGTATTAGGCATTGTTCCCAGTGGTTTATCTATTAGTCAGTTGATTTACTTATTTTAAAAGATTTTATTTATTTATTTGGCAGAGAGAGACACAGTGAGAGAGGGAACACAAGCAGGGGGAAGTGGGAGGGGGAGAAGCAGGCTTCCCGCAGAACAAGGAGCCCTATGCAGGGCTCGATCCCAGGACCCCAGGATCATGACCTGAGCCGAAGGCAGACGCTTAACGACTGAGCCACCCGAGGCACCCCTAGTTGGTTAATTTTTACAACAGTAACCTTATAGCGTATGTAGTATTAGCTCCATTTTCCGTATGAAGACACAGACAGAGGTTAAGTCACTTGCCATGGTCACACGGCTGTGAAGTGGCAGAAGTAGAGGCTCACTTTGCCCAGGCTTCTAATTCCGGGCAGTAGGAGCAGAGAATCTAGTCTGGAGCACTCCTCCATGCCAGGAGGCTACCAGGCCGGTACCAGGTGTCTGTTCTCTACTCTCACGGGAAAAAATACCTGGCTCGGCACATGTTCCAGGCTTCGTGGCACTGCCTCCCATTCCACTCTGATTATATTTACTCTGTGGCTCAGATAGTTCTAGTGCCTGGGCGGGGCAGCGGGCAGCCAGCACGATCTCTCCTGACCGAATGGTAGCTTTGTGAGGAGTCTCAGAAGAGTGAGAGTCCTGTGTCCTGGGTTAGGGAGGGGCCCCGGTGGCCTTCTCACTGCAGGGGGCACCCTCTCTTTTCCAGTTATTATCTCTGACCCTGGATGGACTGACGGGCGTTTCCCAGGACCACATGCGAGCTCATTACCAAACAGGCTCCAACCACATGATGCTGAACATCAACCTTTGGTCGACATTGCTGCTGGGAGCCGGTAAGGAGCAGCTCTGCTGTTCTTTCCACACGTCACCAGAGGGCAGACTGTCGCCCTCCAACGGATCCCTAGCTCAGACTCCGGTTGCAGACTTTGCCCAGGTCAAAGGCCTGTCTCGGCCCCAAGATGCCCTTCTGTCCAAGCCCCTGGAAAAGCCTTCCTGGAGAAACGTTCCTCGGCAGGCTCTGCCTGCTACTTATGACTGGCACGATCATAGGCAGACCTGTGACATTTTCCCTGGGAGGACGTGGGGTAGCAGGTAACAGGGGTGCCTTGGGAACTCGCCTTCTGAGAGAGATGAGATACCAGTATTTGGCGTATACTGACTGTACTTTGAATACGAATGCATGTGCTTTTAAATCAGTGCTTCCTAACCTCTTTTCAAATCTGGGCGCGTGTAGGAAGTACTTTTTGTACAGCACAGTGGGGTTAATGGAGGAGGCTGCTGATGGCTGGAGTGGCCAGCACTTGGGGCTGCCTTGAGCTGGGGATGTGTGGGTCAGTGTCTTCCCAACGTCTGAGGATCTCTGCTTCCAGTGATTTTGGCAGAAGTAGCTAATCGACTCACAAGCGTCTCTGGGAAGAGTCTGCGGTTAATTTCTCTCATCAGGAAACTAGGAGCAGGATGCCTAGTGTGAACTCAGTCCCTGCATTTGTCCACACCCCATTCTGTGGGGTCCTTTCCCAGGCTGTACAGACATGGGTGCCAACACAGGCTCCGTGCTCTGTTCATTCTTTACCATTTCTCCCCAGGAATCCTGTTCACTGGGGAGCTCTGGGAGTTCTTGAGCTTTGCCGAAAGATACCCTACCATCATCTATAACATCCTGCTCTTTGGCCTGACCAGTGCTCTAGGTCAGGTGAGTACCTCAAGACCGGGTAGCCTGGCTTCCCCGAGAAAGACCGACCCGGGAAGACGGCAGCAAGACTAGCCCTGATGTACTGCCACAGATTTTGACCTTGGGGCAGAGCCCCAAGAGCCGGCCTGACCCCACTTTCTCGGTCTTTCTAGAGCTTCATCTTCATGACAGTTGTGTATTTTGGCCCCCTGACCTGCTCCATCATCACCACAACTCGAAAGTTCTTCACCATCTTGGCCTCTGTGATCCTCTTCGCCAACCCTATCAGCCCCCTGCAGTGGGTGGGCACCATACTCGTGTTCTTGGGTAAGTTCCCTGCGGAGCTCACATCTCTGGGCACATGGAGCAGCAGTCACAGAGCTTGCTTTTTCCTTTTTTTGTTTTATTTAAGTTTTGGTTTTTTTGTGGGGGGGGTAGCGAGAGGGAGCGGGGAGGAGCAGAGGGAGAGAGAATCCCAAGCAGCCTCCTCACTCAGTACGGAGCCCAACTCGGGGTTCAATCTCAGAACTCTGAGATCATGACCTGAATCAAAATCAAGAGTCAGATGCTTAACCGACTGAGCCACCCAGGTGCCCTGTGACAGAACTTTAGATATTTTTTTTCCTGAATTATGTATTTATGAAATTGATTTATTTCATTTCATTTTATTTATTATTATTATTTTTAAAGATTTTATTTATTTATTTGATAGAGATCACAAGTAGGCAGAGAGGCAGGCAGAGAGAGAGAGGAGGAAGCAGGCTCCCTGCCAAGCAGAGAGCCCATTCGGGGCTTGATCCCAGGACTCTGGGATCATGACCTGAGCTAAAGGCAGAGGCTTTAACCCACTGAGCCACCCAGACACCCCTGATTTAGTTATTTTAGAGAAGATGTTTTTTAAAAAGGAGAGGAAGCCAAAAAAAAAAAAAAAAAAAACAAAGAATTATTCCTCCTAACCCTCCCTTCCTTTTTTTTTTTTTTTTTTTCCTCTAATCCACCCTTCCTAATGAGCATTTCATTTTAGTGATCTTCCTCCAGCAACTCGGGTTTCCTCAGACACTGAGCAGATAAAATTGTTGTACTTACTCCCCACCAATCTGTGTTGCTATGGATGAGATGAGAGAACTAGCTAAGAAGTACTGACATTTTTTAAGTTTTACTGTATTTTATTGTATATATGTAATTGTATATATAACTTTATATACATATATATATATATAAATACATATGTGATTATCTATATTTTGGTGATTTTTTTCATTTGATGCCTTACTTTTTCTCTGAGGGAGTTCTATAAAACCAGTGTTTGGAGTTAGTTTTATTTAAAGCCCCAATTTTGGAGAACCAAGCTGACCTTCTCCTCTCCCCATGCTACTCTCAAAATCATTGGTAGTTTTCATGTCTCGTCATAAAGCTAAGCCCATCTTCTCCCTTTTCATAGGTCTCGGTCTCGATGCCAAGTTTGGGAAAGGAGCCAAGAAGACATCCCACTAGGAAGAGAGAGACTACCTCCACTTCGAGAATATTTAAGTTATTATCTCAAATACGGACATCTCTTGGGCAAATGGACACAATAAGGATAAAGGACTGGGTTCCAGTCTGCTTTTGGTTTTTGTGGGGTTTTTTGTTTTGATTTGTTTTTTAAGAAAAGGAAGCAAAATCACATACTCTGAAAAAAGCACTTGGATTTTAATAAGACAGAGTTGGCAGTTTCTGTTCTGGATGACCTGGAGCACAGCCTAACTCGAGGGGAGGAGGGGGAGGAAGAGGCAGAGCCTGATGCTCTTTGCCCAAACTCCTGCTCGGGTGCAGGAAACCTGGCTGGGTGGCTCACTCCCCCAGGAGCCCAAGCGTTGCATGGAGGACCTTGAATAAATTTGCAGTTGGCCTTGTGGCCTCTGTTCCCGCAGGTGAGGGTCTGAATCTGCCAGGACAGGTGGTTGGCTGTTAGAGCCAGAGAATGTCAAAATCACTTTACCTCTTCAGGCTCTGGTGGGCAAATATTTCCTTAAGAACTCCCGATACAGTCTTTCCTCAGGAAACCTCCCTTGAGGTTGGGGGCGGGGGTGGAAATGAGCCCAGAGCCTCAGAGTCTGCTGTGTTTCACATTTCCCCACGGCCTCCTCTTCAGCCAGAGCTCAAGCCTGGAGTGCAGACCCGGTGTGGTCTGCACTCCACCGGGAGTGGAGACCCGATATATATATCATGAACAGCTTGGGAAGGTCGATTCCCTCCATCCTGTCTCCCGAATCTGTTCTCAGTCCACCTGGTCTCCTCCTGGGGAGGCTGGATTAATCCTATTCTCCTGTTCCCTTCGGCTGCTAAAGCGTTGCAGTCCTCTGCTGTTGTGGCCCTGCCAGCGTGTCCCCATGCCAACTTCTGCCTGTTGAAAGGGATGCTGGCGGAACGCTTGGTGGCTGGGTGCTGGCACAGAGCCCCCGTCAAGTTTCCTGGGTGGCAATGGGGGGAGAAGGCGGAGCATGGAGTGGAGCCACCTGCCCACAGCCGTCTTCAGAGCTGGAAATCACAATCCTCCACGGACCAAACTTTACACATGAAAGTGCATTTCCACCAGCTGCAACTTTCTCTCCATCTGTTCCGCAGCCCCAGCCCCGTGGCTCTCCAGCTGGGAGCCCAGCCTCCTTCCTGAGCGGCTGCCTCGCCACCCCTCCCCAGCCTTTCAAGCCAGCCTCACTTGAGCTCCTGTCGCTCTCTAGGGGTGCTCGTGTCTCTGCAGCTCTGCCCCCAAAGGCCCCCTCTCATTCTGAGCTCCTTGAGAGAAGAGGTTTTAAGTACATCTGGCTGAACTTCCTTCCTTCTCCACCCCCTTTCCCCTGAGTTTTTTTTTTTGTTTGTTTTTTGTTTTTTTTCATCCCAAAGCTTGCATCAATTAGCCCCTTCCCTTCTGGATTGTTAGTTCTTCCAAGCTGTCTTCTGTGGCTTGGATGGGTGGTCAGAGTGTGTGGCCAGTGCCAGGGACCTACAGGCCTGCTGTCCCAACTATCGGACCAATTCCTTCCACCTCCAGTCTCTGCACTTCCCAACTAGCTGTCTCACAGACACTTCATGCTAGGCACGAAGAGCAAGACAGAATCTTCCGGAGCCGAGCGTGGCTCACACCTGCTACTAGAGCAAGTGCATCCTACCTACCATGTGCCAAGAGCCTGCTGCTGGTCTATCTACTCAGCACCCATCTAACCCATCACTCCTGTGTGCTGCGCACCGTGAACTTGTTAGGAGTTCAAAGCTGAGTAGGACCAGGGCTTACCCTCTGGGGAGGTTCACAGTCTCGTAGAGAGACGGGTAAATAAACCATTGCATCTCAGACGCGCAGAGCTAACTACCAAGTGTCTGGGCAAGGCGAGGCTTGAGCTGCAGCGTGTGGGAAGATGAAAGGTGGAGGAAACAAAGCCAAGTGGGAAATGGGGTTTTCAACTGCCCGGCCTCTCCACTTGCTCCTGCCTTCAGTCAGGTCGAGTGGGAGCAGTGACTGTGCCCTAAGGCTGTTGTTCAGCCCAAAGGGGAACAGGTGAAGACATGGCGTGAGCTGTCGCTGAGCTCGGTGACGTGCTTACCTACGGGATCTCGGGAGCCCAGCGTGCCAGGTTTGACCGGAGTCAGCAGCGCTCTGTCAGGGCATAAGGGCTGATAAATGTGAAATACCAGGCAAGTTCCAACAAAAGTGGTGTTGATCGCTAACCCTGGGCGGCCCGATGCCTCAGGTTTGTCAAGATCAAAAGACTTTTCATCTGTAGTTAATTCTCAGCTATGTGTAGAAGGGGGTGGGGTGGGGAGCCAGCACACCAGTTTCCCCAAACACTGTATTTTTAGTTTGGGGTGTACTATACCTGACGCCTATTTTGGTCAAACCTTAAGGTTAGTCTCCTCAGTTTTTGGTGCTCAAGCTTATGGAAAAGTGGTCTGTCCATCTCATGTGAGGGCAGTGACCCACCAATGTGATTTGGGGTGAAAACGGGGCGGGGGGGAAGCTCTTACAGAATTAAACATTAAAAGAAAGAAAGAGTATGTTGTTTTAAAGGGACAGAAATTAAACATTCCAGTGGATCATCTTTCAGACGAGGCATTTAAGAACAGATGATGTGTTTTTCCACAGCCCTGTGACACCCTTGCAAAGAGGACCAAGCAAGCCCCTCTGTTCCTTAGAGAAATGGAAAAACAGGTTAGGGAAGTCTGGCTGACCTGCGGTAGGTCCCTGGGTATGTGCTTACGAGATGAACTAGAACACAAGATTCCCTGAGTCCTAGTGGCATCTTGGACCTGTGCCCTCAGAGGGGGAGAGGCAGAGCTCCTCAGGAGGCCTATTGCCTGTGCTGTCTGATCCCGCTTGTCAGTGGAACAGTTTGCACATTTTATGAGTGGTGGTGCTGGTCACTTTCTCCAGATGCCGCGGCAGAGAAATTATCCTGGGTCTCTGCGGGATCATTCAACTCTTCCCACTGAAAACACACCAGCTGTCTTCAGGAGCCACAATCTCACATATTTATTGAACTCCTTTCCCAGAGCTCTTTAGTTCCTGAGAATTTGTCCTAGCAACCCTCCTGGGGAGAGCTTAGGCCAGGACAAGTCTCCCTGCATTTGGGATAGGGAGCCTGAAACCCGCCGGAGTGCATCAGCCAGAAGTCCCATGGCTGTGGGAAGGCAGGGCCCGAAAGTGAGTCTTCACTTCCCACATGTCCGAGGTCAGAGAGCTAAGCCACTGGTTCCCAGTCGTTTGGATATCCTGGTCCAGTAGAATTTCCAAATAATATGGGGGGGGGGTGTCTATTTTTTTTTTTTTAAATAAGGACATTAAAACAAAAAAATCTATCACCAATATGGCTTACAACAAGCCATTTAACTCTAAAAATTTTAGGAAGCACTCCAAGATAAGGACCCTTCTTCCAAAGAAATTATAGTTGGAAATCATACCATGGTGTAGATGAAATAATTTTTTAGTTACAGAAAATGTTCAACATAAAATACTCTTCTATGATAATACATTGTAGGATATATCCTTATGATTTTTCACACAATACAATGTGGTCAGTTTGGGGGCTGTACTCCACAATGCAGTCCACTGACCCTGGAACGTCACACAAACATGCTGACAAAGATGAAAGCAACCCCCAACCAGATTTTACATCATTTAGAACATTCGGAGAGTCTGAAAACAACATCCCCCTGACCTGGGCCACTTTCTGCCTTCCTCTATAGGGTTAGGAGGAGAGCAGGCTGTGGGGATCAGAGAACTTTCCAGTAACTGCTGTAGGAGGGAAACTTGGAGGCTTGGAACACTCTGCTCCAATATCTGCTCCCAAAATGTTCCGGCCATGGCTTTGATCACCCAGCTCAGAGCTCAGAATTAACTCTGGAAAGTTTTCACCTACTGATTAAAGGCAATTTCTGACAGACATAGTCCTTAGAACCAGCAGCCTATGCCTGCCATGGCAAGAAGGGTGGGAAGGGGAACAAAGAGGGTCTTGGACTAGGGAGTGATTTCATTCAGTGCCTTCCGCTTGGCTGAGGCATGAGTCCACAAAGGCTGGTGGGTTTTCTGTCCAAATAGGCCTGATTCTCTGTTCTTTCTGGGAGAAGCGGAAGAGGAAAGAGGTTCACGGCATTTACGAAGGGGAGGGACTGAATGTTTCTTGCTGCCCACTTCTGTGTCTTGTCATGGTATGTGGGTGGCCAGAGCTAGCAGAACCACCACGTTTCCGTTTAGGTTCTGACTGGACACCATTTCCTCCTACTCAGGGTCTAGAACTGCCACATCAAGACCACAGCCCTAGAAGGAATGTGTCACTCTTATGTGAAGGCTTGGAACTCCCTGGAATTTTAAGAAAAAGTGTCTGTGCATGAAAAAATAATAGTGTCTGTGTGTGCATAATGGTACAAGTGCTCATACATATGTCAAGCTGGTCGGTTCATTTTTCTATGAAGAGTCCACAGCTCTCCAGATTCTCAAAGGTGTTCATACACAGTATCCACCATCATCCTGGGGCTCATTTAATCCAAAGCCATTTCCCAAATACAACGGTGTAACTGGGCACCACTACAAAATGTGAGAAAGCACCATCCCCAGCTGTGCTTAGAGGAGGGGTGGGGGTGAGGTTGCAGAGCTAGAGTGATCCATTCAAGGTCATTTCTGGTTTTCTCCTGGCCCCTCCACACACTTTATCTGGGACTGTCCCATTCAGCAAATAAAAACACAGGATGCCCAGCTGAGTGTGAATTGCAGATAAACAACACTTTTTTTTTTTTTTTTAGTATAAGTATGTCTCATCTAATACTTGTGACATACTTATATTCTTTTTTTTTAAGATTATTTATTTATTTATTTATTTGACAGATGGAGATCACAAGTAGGCAGAGAGGCAGGCAGAAAGAGAGAGAGAGAGAGGAAGGGAAGCAGGCTCCCTGCTGAGCAGAGAGCCCGATGTGGGGCTCGATCCCAGGACCCTGGGATCATGACCTGAGCTGAAGGTAGAGGCTTTAACCCACTGAGCCACTCAGGTGCCCCTGACATACTTAAATTCTTATATCACAAATTATATGTGCAATATTTGAGGCACACTTCTATGTGTTGTGTATCTGAAATTCAAGTTTAGCCAGTGTTGCGTATTTATCTGACAAGCCTGTGGCATTAGTCATTATTGCACATGTTCTCACCGGCCTTTCTTCTCCCTTGCCATCACCCCTTGCCATCCTGCGCGGAGAGCCTGCAGGTACTTTTTTGCTCAGGGCCAAACGTCTTAGAATTCCCCTTTTGGCCCCGGGGAGGTGCCAGCCTAGACCTCGTCGGCAGGGGGCACCATTTTCTTAAAATAGATCCCAAGTGGCGCTTCCGGGGCCTCGGAAAGAGAAAGTGGGGCATTGAATGGAATTCTATTTGCTGCTCCTGCCTTCCCT